ATGTGTGTGAACTATTTTTGGACAGAATTGTCACCGATGATGAAAATTGGATTCTCTATGAAACATTAAACACCAAAAACAATGGCTCAGTCCTAGACAAAAAACCACTTCCGACCCCAAAACCTAGACTCCATCTGCAGAAAGTGATGCTTTGCATTTGGTGGGACTTTAAGAGAGTAATTCATTTCGAATCCTCAATCCACAGCGAACTGTCAATGCAGAGATCTATAGTCAGCAACTAGAATATTTAAATCAAGCCCTTCATCAGAAATGCCCTTCACTCGTCAATTGGAAAGTGTTCTTCTTTCCACGACAATGCACGTCCACATGAGGCACGTTTGACGCAACACAGGATTATGGAATGGTGTTGGGAAGTTCTCCCCCCACTCACCATTTTTTCGTTTGCTGCAACACCATCTTAATGGGAAAACGTATGCAAATGTGGAAGGTGTTAAAGAGGACATCGACATGTTTTTTGTCTTCAAAGCCAAGCGATTTCTTTAATCAGGGCTTTAACAACCTGATTGTAAGATGGAAAAGTATCATCGATAAGAATGGACACTATTTTATTTAATATATATGTTCTTTTGACATATATAAGTTGTTCGGGTTTTTGCAGCTAATAAAAGCGACATTAATTTCTTGACGACCTAATATGTACTTATAACATGTGAAAGTATTTTGCTAAAAGATTTTAGCTTAAAATTTTATGACTTTACAGCAACTGACGACAGAATCAAGATATATTTAATGTCTTAATTTATGTATTTTACGTTATATTTATAAACATGTAATATAAATACGAGATATGGGCTATCTCAAAGAACACAAATCAGATGCAAAATAAATACCTTCATAACATAACTAACTGTTAATTTGAAACACGGATGTAGTTTACAAATAGTTGTACTTAACTGAAAACTGCGATCACATTGTTTTGTTTAAAAAATAGCTAGTAGAGTTATTATATCTGAAACATCATTTTTAAGTTTTCACGTGTTTAAGTTCAATCGTATACCACAAATATCAGTTTTAAGCTTTAAGCCTTGTAATAAGTTTAGAAAGCCCACATACTTCAGATTTCAATCACCTACTTATTAACTCAATGCTAACTGTAGGACAAGGAATTTTACAGGTGTAAACTAAAAATACACTACCATTCCGAAACTACCCACTATCCAGATATCATATTATAGGGGTAGTGCAAATGATCACTATTTTACTAAAGTATAACGTCCTTATCAGTGTGAATAACATTCTGTGAGCATGCACTCAAAGATTTCGACAGGAGTCTTGTGCAGTTTGTCTTCAATTTTGTCCCAAAAACTCTAGGAACAGTCAGGTATTTCAGATGGTTTCAAAGATGCTTTATAGGGTCGAGATATGAACTCTGGGTGGGCACTTCCAGGACATTGTTATCAGTTCTTCAAAATGAAACATGGATCGTAAGTACTATGGGTCAGAGAGGGTTACCTTCTTTAAAAATACATTAGGCTGCTGGGCAGAAAAATTTGTTGTGACCCTTGGAACATGTTTTATTCAGATGTCTTGATATCCATAGGCATTGAGACAGTTTACAGATAATTCGTACGCCCAGTGAGCAGAATGCAGGCCGCACCTTAAAACCTCTATCACAATTCTATACAGATGAAACAATGTAATCATGGTCGAATTTTCAATCTGTAAACTACAGACTCACTATTAGCTCCACTGTATAGAAAAAGAAAATGGTAGTTGCAAGTAAAATAATCAGGTTGGTTCATAAAGAGTATAAGAGATAAAATTGAAGAAAAGCGTAAGGAATTTTAGAAATTTAAGTTTACTGGTGTGACAGAAGATTTAGAAGAGTATAGAATATCAAGAAAGTTTGTGAAACAGGAAATTAGGACACCAAAAAGGATGTATATGTATGAGAAAAGGTTGGCTGAAAATGTAGAAATTAATAGTAAGGATTTCTTTAAATACATTGAAGGTAAACAAAATGTTAGGATGGGGATAAGACCCTTGAGGGATGATAAAGGAAGGCTCATATCTGATGATTATGAGATGGTTGGGTTATTAAATTCTGCTTTTTGTTCAGTTTTTACTAACGAAGATTTAAGAAATATTCTTCATCCTGAATAGTTGATAAATGGAAACAAGTTCGGACAAGATGATCACATTAATTCTGATCTGGTTAAGAGAAATTTGAGAAGTTAAAAGAATGATAAGGTTCCTGGGCCAGATAACATTTCCCCAAGGGTTTTGAAGGAGGTTAAAGATTGGATATGTGAGCCACTAACGTAACTCCTCTTTTCCAGGGAGGAGATAAAAATTGTCCAAGTAATTATAGACGAATTAGTCTTACATCATTTGTGGGGAAATTTTTGGAAAGTCTGATAAAAGATGCTTTGCAAAGCTATTTAACTTAAAGCTTAGAATCTTATTGGATAGTCAACATGGTTACACTAAGGGAAATTTTTGCCTTACAAATATTTTGACATTCTTTGTAAAGTTTACTGCTTATATAGATGAGGGTAAGAGTGTAGATTTAGGGTATCTGGATTTTCAGAAAACATTTGACAAGGTGCCACATAAAAGGCTTGTAGAAAAGCATATCTATAGGTGTGGGGGATAAGTTAGCAAATTGGAGAGAAGAGTGGCTGGATGGAAGAAAGAAGAAGGTTGTAACAAATGGAATTCAGTCAAACTGGATTAATGTTACAAGTGGGGTACCTCAGGGCTCAGTCTTTTCGAACCTTTGTTCTATTTGATTTACATCAATGACGCAGATGAAAAAATGATCAATAAGTTACTTAAATTTGCAGATGATAGTAAGGTCTTGGGTGTTGAAAGCTGTGAAGAGGATGCTGTTGATTTACAAAAAGATTTAGATCATTTAATGAGTTGGGAAAATATTTGTCAAATGGGTTTTAATTATAATAAGTTTAAGATAATGCATGTGGGTTTATCATATTTTGAATAATAAGTATAATTTGGATGGAAAAGAAAGGGATATTAGTGTAATAGCTCATCAATGTGCTGTTGGTAGTGGTAGAGCTAATAGGAATTTAGGTTGTATCTAGAAAAATATCGAATACAAGACTAAAGAGGTTATAATTTCATTGTACAGGTCACTTGTTTGACCACATTTGGAATATTGTGTTCAGTCTTGGGCTCCTTATCTCAG